AAACCATTTCAGGTGACTACCTCTTGAAGCTCATGGAGAGAATGCCAAGAGTGTGCAAAGCAGTAATCAGAGCAAAGGGTGGCTATTTTGAAGAAACTAGAATATAAAACATGTTTTCAGTTATTTCACCTTTTTTTGTTAAGTACATAACTCCACATGTGTTCATTCATAGTTTTGATGCCTTCAGTGAGAATCTACAAAGTAAATAGTCATGAAAATAAAGAAAACGCATTGAATGAGAAGGTGTGTCCAAACTTTTGGCCTGTACTGTATGTTGTTTTAATCAATAAATACAGTGTGAATAAAGATTACATAACATAAAAATAACTGCAGTCTTTGTTATTGATAGCCGCTTAAATTAAACAATTTTTATAGGGCAAGTAAAAACTGACTTCGGGCAAGTAGATCTCTGACCAACTTGCCCGACCGGGCAAGTGAAAAAAAAACCTTAGCGTTGAACCCTGCTGTTCATGGTTCAACCTCCATTTGACATGAATTCTTATGTACATCAGCATCATGTCAGTTTGTTGCTGCAGAGCAGACCTGTCCCCTCAGTTACAGAGGCTAAATAAATTGTGTCTGACTATTAGTAGGTTAATATTTTCAGTGGAAAAAGAAAAACCAAGACAACAGCTGTCATCAATGGACCTACCCTGTTAAAATAAAGGTTAAATAAAATAAATTAAAGATCAGTCAGATATAATCAGGGCTTCACATCTGTACAGATGTTATTTTAAGAATCCTCACATCCCACTGACCACAAGTCTCTGTGATGGCTGATACTTAAATAATTAAAACAGTCCAATGTTAATACACAGTAGACTACATATAGCTTCTGATGAATGTATTTAGTCTCTGAATACTAAACGTCACAATCAGTGAATGATGCAGATGAAGTTGTACACAAAACTAACCGGCACGCATTGTGATTGATATGTGCAGGCCTGGTTAATCTCGAATGAGCCTATTAGGACAAACTCAACAATTCAAGTATTTTTTTTATTTTTTTTTTATGCAGGGTAACATGAGGCCAGGAATTGTTGTGGCCCTAAAAACTGCTTAACCCTTTGAATTTAATTTCATAATGACACTGACAAATAAAACTATATTTATTGTTGATCTGATTTATGTTGATAGTCATTTTCAATACTGATTCAGTGAATAAAATCTGAGCATTCCTAATAAGACAGTATCATAAGATTTTGAATATTTTACGTGAACAAAAAATTCCTGACAATAAGATTTTGGTATCTTGCATAAATAACCTTTACCTGTATTTGAGAGGTTTCTGATTTTTATTCATTGGCCTGTTGGCTCACTTTAGCTACAGCTTATTCTAAATTGGGTGTCTTTATGGAGGTGCGAATGTAAAATGCATTACAAAGCCCTTGCGAAAGTTCAGTCAGGAAGACAATACTTTTCATGCTCAGGCTGTGAGTTTCTTTCTCACTCTGCCATTTACTCCTTGTACGCATGCTCACTCACCATCTCTAGGTGTTATCGTCTGGGTCTGTCAGTTGAGTCATCAGCTGTTTTTTGGCTGACTCACAATTAACCAACAGCACAGCAACACACCTTCTCTGTCAGCCTATCATCGTACTGCTCCTCATTTTTAATATGGTTCTTTCTCTGCCTTTGCTGCAGTGGTGTGCGCCCTCCACCTCCCCATCACCATCTAGTCTTTACAGATTCATCTGCCTCATCCGCCTCAGCAGTCAGCAGCCTCAGAGTCAGCAGCCACCACCACCACTGGTGTCTGGACTCAATGGAGGGATTTCTACCATTTCTCCCCCGTTTTTTGGGGGAGTTTTTCATTATCCACTGTGAGGGTCCAAGGACAGAGGGATGCTGGATGCTGTAAAGCCCTGTGAGGCAAACTGTGATTTGTGATATTGGGCATTATAAATAAAATTGAAATGAACTGAAATTAAATCTTGCTGCTGCTCAGATGTCTCTCAATCAAAAGATATCTCCCTCTGGTGTCCAAGCGCCAAAGATTTCTGCTAAATCTTAATGAGCACAAATAATCTGTCTATCTGTACTAGGGATGGGGCCGATCCGATCCAGTATCGGTATCGGGTTCCGATACCAACGTAATTCACGGATCGGAAATTTCCGATCCACGAGCCGCGTCTGTGCTTTCTGCTGGAATGATATGATGATTACTACATAGTAGTGTTGCACTGACCGCGGTACTAAAACACGATGGTACATATGATACCATAATGTTGGAGTAGGCTGCAGTACTACGGTACCTCAGGTACCACTACTGTGGGATAAAATCAAAGTCCAATCGCAAGAGCGTGAGTGTCCATGCGGCGTCCAATAACGGCGCGCACTGCCCACCTGGCACTCGATATGCCGCTGCAGTGGTTTGTATCCAGTGACATTTCAGGTATGAACTGAGCTACTGAGTATCTTTAAGCTATGAAAGTTATTATTAATTTCTTTACTTTTTACTTGTAGGTTCGATTTGTTTATATATGCTACAATGATTTGTTTTCCACTACAGAGCTCTATGGAGCATTTTACTGCCATTTGCGACTAAAAATAGTTTTGTGCGTGCAAAATAAATCATTCAGCTGTGCCAGTACAGATTTCAACCAGCAGCAGAAACTAAAGGCAAATCCTGCCGGTTGTGGGTTGAACGGGGGTCACAGACACAGACGGTAATGTATTCCTGTCAAATACGGCGGAGACTCATAGTGCTGCGCGGCGCAAGAACGGCTTACCGGCGACAGCGACTCCAGGTCTAATAATGTCCTCTTCTTGGCGTCATGACTGCCCAAAAGTACCTGAACAGTCGAGCCATGGTGGCACAAAGGTATGTGATGTTCAGAGGAGAAACGAGCCATTCACATTTCGCTCTCCGTGGCAGGGAACGGTCCACAAACCTCACCGCACTTTAGGGACCGTTCGTTACTTATGAAGGGACTGTCAGGGGAGGAGGGTGGCTGGTTGATTTTTATTTTATTTATTTATTTTATTTTGATCCCCCCTATTTTAATCACTTATTGATGCTGTTTTTGAAGTATGAATAAGTCAATAAGTAATTTATTCCATTGAAATATCATTGATGTATTATAGAAAAGTGATTTATCTTTTTATAAATGACAAAAGGCACATCTGCCTCATTTTCGCTGTGGTATCGTGATACTACTCAGAACCATGATACTTTCACTGGTATCGTACCGTGGGTCCCAATTTTGGTACCGTGACAAAACTACTACATAGTAGTGTCTACTTGAGTTGTATCTGTGCTGTTCAGATTAATATGACAGGTACTTTTTGTTTTTTGATAGTGTATATTGCACTAGTAACACTGTCTTGGAATTTAATAAATATTGACAATCAATTTGAAACCCTTACAGTTGCATAGGCTATTTGTTTTCAGGATGGGATTTTTCCTGTGAGCAGGATTTCCTGCTTTTCTGACCTTATACTTACCTCAAGTTGCCTTTTGGGACATACATGCATATATACGTACATAGCATACTTGCCTGTAGAGAGGAGTTTATTACAGCTTCATATAAAATCAACAATGATAATAATATTAAAGCAAACAGAGCTCTGGTATCGGAATAGTATCGGTATCGGCAGATATCCAAATTCTGGTATCGGGATCGTATCGGAAGTGAAAAAATGTGGATCGTGCATCCCTAATCTGTACACTCATATTTCATAATAAATATTATCTTTACGTCATTCTGCTGTCTCTCCTGATTGAGCTGTAGGTGTAACCACAAAACAAATTCAAGATCACATTCTTGGCCATAATGTGTCCACATATCTTCCCAAAACATGATATACTTCTTGTTCCTCCAAAAACAAGAGAAGCTGTGAAAACAGAGTTATCACAGCTTCTGATCTCAACCCATCTGCCCAACCCTGGAAGTGATGTACGAGTGAGTGCGACATCAAGAGCTGCAGCACACAGGGCACTGTTTTCAGCCTTGACCAGGTCTAACTGGTTCTAACTCACAAAAAGCCACTTTCCTTTTCATGACAGCACTGATGTTGTCATACTCACACACAAACACACACACACACACACACAAAACACATCTAAAACATGGACCATTCAAAACCATTTTGTGACAGCATAAAAGCATATGTTGAATATATATTTTAACTAATGTGACTAGTTATTTAGCCAATACTGATTTGCCCCATACTTATGCTCTAAGGATGTTACACCACATAACACACAGAGGCACTACATCCTGTAGTATCACTGCAATAGTCGTGTCATAATGAGGCTGGATTAATTCACTATGAACTTAACAATATAGGCTATCTCATAAACGCTGTAATATTACAGTTAAAATCAATGTGTTTTATTGAGAGACAGTTCACAATTTATATCAAACATTTTAATTGTAATTAATTGTTTACTGTCCCTGTGTTTAATGGGCAGCATTGTTTGTGTCATGTAACACCTACCCGTGCAGCGTTACCTTGCTGGACCTCAACAGTGGACCAAATGTTGATATGACAGAAAATATTTCATTAGCTATTCATGTGGGGTTAAGACTGTGACTGTAATGCAGTATAATTTAATAACATGCCTAGCCCACACAGCGACTTTTCATTAGGTGACTCTTGTCCACAACAACAGTGAGCCGAGTGGACGGGAAACGATGTCTCACACCGATGTCCAGTTAGCACGCTGCGGCAGTGAAATCACTGAGGACCACACAGCTACACTAGCTAGGTAAATACATGAGAAAATTAGGAAAAGACCCACCTGTTTTATTTAAGATGGTGTCTCTCGCCTCCGCCGCACACGGGTGACACATTTCTCAAACGTTTCTCAGCAGCTGTGTCTGGTCTGACACCGGGCCGGGGCCCCGTACGACAGTGACGGAGGAGAAAACCACACGGAGGTACGAGCCGAGGGGGTTCGGCCGCTCTCACGAAGAACACCGCTGCTGCACGAAACTGGCGGAAGTACATAACAGAGCCGCTGTCAAAATAAAAGCACGGCGGCAAGGTGATAAAGTGACAAAAACACCCTCTACCCTCGTTCACCTACTTTGTACATTTCTTCAAGTACCATACAAATTTAAATAACTTGTCTTTAACATGAGTCTTTATTCTATTTGGAGTGCAGGCAGTGGGGCATAGAGAGCGTGGGTCCTCCAAACAATTGGTGCTTCTCAAAGTCAAGGATGCCTCCTTGGTGGGAAGGGTCCTTCCTAGTGAGGTCCTATAGAGGCTAGGCAAGACTCCTTCCTAGCATTCCGTGAACTCACATTGGCCCAGGCTAGCCAGTACCTTGGTGTGTGTCATTAAAGCAGCCTTCGAAGGCAGAACTGATCAGTTCTGGCAAATCATGCCCAGTAGCAGTAGCTCAATCCATGAGGACTTGGGTTGGTAGCTAGAAGGTTTCCAGTTCAAGTCCCCATCTGGACCAAATATGCATGTCCTGGTAGCTGGAGAGGTGCCAGTTCACCTCTTGGGCACAGCCGAAGTGCCCTCGAGGAACATACCAAGCTCCCCAGCCACTCGGGGCCTGTCCATGCACAGTCCCCTCACTCTGACATCTCATGTAAGTCCTGTTTGTGCATCTGTGCACTTCGGGCCTATACATCAACAGAGTGAAAAAAACTGAATTTCCCCTTTGGGGATTAATAAAATATATCAAATTAAATGAAAGAATTATGGGTACCTCATGCCCGCCAAGAATACACACGACACATAATTAGAATTCCAAGGATCCTTGACATTGGAGGACTATATCAGCGGGATTCAGTGACATGGCCTCATTGAAATTCAGTCGTTAAAGGATCCTTCCTTGACTTTGAGAAGCTCCTAATGTGTTGGATGGAGAGTGGGCCCCTTATGGGTGATTGCCACCTCACAAATATGCCTGTATTCAAAGAACTCACATTAAATTAAAAACAGTGCCATTTGCTGTATTTGTCCTGAAATAGACAAACCCATCTCTGTCATGTTTTTTGTCGAGTAGTCAACGGCATCTCTAACAAAATTATGTGCTTGTCCTGAATAAACTACAAATAAAGGATCACAGTTGTTACAATAATATAATTTTATTTTGGTATTTTTTGTCATATACAGATATGCGATGATGATTGCTGGTGATATGTACGTATAGTGATGTTGCCTAGTGTCAAGGGTCTATTTAATCATTTGACGAGACGATATATGCAGGATAGCATGCACAGGGGCCTGTCGTAACTACCTTACGCCACTGGCTCAAACCCGGAAGAGGCAGAACCATGTTGAGTTTTTGCAGCATTATTATTTATTGTCTCACGCCGCAGCTTAAATTGACCTGAGCTGATATGAGTTACAAGCTTGAAACTTGGCCCAATAACTGGAAATGATGTGCAAATGCCTACCTAGAAATATGACACCGGTCGGTTACATGATGACCGACTGGTCCTGTGTGTTTTTATGGTTTTTCTCCAGGTCTCAAATTTTCCACTTCGTGTCTTTATGTGGCTAGCCAGGTCTTTTTTGTGATGCTATTAGGGTGATCAGTTTTCCATGAATAACTGCCTTCATCCCACTTACAGTGCTCACATCCCCATTATCATTCTTTTCAACATACTTTTTTTTTTGAATCTCTTCTCTTATACATATGCCTTCTAATTCAAAATACCCACATTGAGCCATACAGTGTTTATTGATCTACTATTCAGGTTTATTGTCAGGCTGATCGCATTGTGGTCTGATACATCAGCCATCCCAATTTTACACTCTGTGACCCTGTGGCTTTTATCAGTACTCATTAAAAATTAATCACTTCCGGAATAGACAGATTGAGGTACTGAATAGTGTGTATAGTCCTTTTCTAGAGGGCAACGTTCTCTCCAAACATAAATTAATCCCATTTCCTGCACTGATGTGTTAATGAACTTGGTCAGATATATAACAATAAACATTCTGGACAGTCTATGAACAAAGCCACTCATTATGACTACAGTGAAAACCTTAGGGGAACATGTCGCAGGTGTGTACTGACCTTGATCAGTTGGTAGGAGTGGAGGATCATCAGATTTGTGGCCATCTCAACAAGGAGTTTAACCTCCTGGGCCTGCAGCTCCGTGTACATGCTGAACAGCACGTCATGGGCATCACGTTCAGTCCCTGTAGAAGTAGCATGCACAAAAGCGACAGAAGCAAGAAACATATGATTACAGTTGTCATGGCTGTCATTATTGGTGCACAGTGTTCGTGTCTATGTTTGTACCTGCACACTGCTCTCCTCTGATGTACTGCTGCAGCGCCACATATAGAGGGAACAAGTGCAGGGCATCCTGGATAGAGGAAAGAAAGGTCACCACTTTATTCAGCAGTGTCACTCTTACTGTCACATTGGGTCATGCTCAAACTCACATACATGAATTCACAGGGTGAAACTGTGCTACAGTTTCATTCAGTTTGCATTGCATTTTGTGTGTAATATGTGTCTGATTAGATGTGAGGTCACAACACAATCAGGATCGAAGGTTATTTAATACCTATAGATGCATTGTGAGCTGCAGTTTACAGTATGAAATTGGCAAATAAAGGGGTGTCGGTGGCTTAGTGGTAGAGCAGGCGCCCCATGTACAAGGCTGTTGCTGCAGCGACCCGGGTTTAAATCCAGCCTGTGGCCCTTTGCTGCATGTCATCCCCCCTCTCTCTCTCCTGCCTTCAAGCTTACCTGTCCTGTCTATTAAAGGCAAAATGGCCAAAAAAATATCTTAATAAAAAAAAAAAAAAAGAAATTGGCAAATAAAGGAAATGAAAAGCAGTGACACTGGAATAAAATAAAAACCTTCCAAAAGATTTTCTATGATCTTAACTAACTTTCTGACCTGAAAAAAATTAATTGGACAGTCATTACTTTAAACAAGATTTACTTGACGAAATGTTTGCAAAGCTAACACTATGTGATGCTGAACAAATCTGCAAGGAAGTAAAAAGCAATCAAATGACAACATGATGCCCACCCTTCTTTAATACTGGTTAGCATGTGTAAATCTGCACCTACAGAGACTTCTCCACTAAAACTGACACACACTGTATGAACCTTAGTACAAAAATCAGATGGGATATAATAAATGTGATTGATAGTGTCATCTGTGGCAAATGTGCTCAGCTTCATTTCAAACATTGTACATCAACATCTGAACATTTGCATTCCAAAAATCCAGTCATAAAACTTTCAGAGAGGACTGTTTCCAATAAATAATGAATGTTGGCTTAAAGTTAGGGCTTATAAATAAAGAATGAATGCTTCATGTAAAAATGAATTGCGCGGAATATCAGACTGGCATGCAGTGTGATACTAAACAAGCAGAATTTGGACATTTTATGTTTTAAGGCTTAACCCCACTTCTTTGTTATTCTCTTCTGTTTTTCTTTTAAGAAAAATAGTTTATTCTGTCCTGGTTTATCTAGAGTGATACACGCAAACCTCATGCTGACGTCCCTCTTTGTTCAGGTTGTAGGGATTCATTTTAAATCAGTAGGAGAGGAATACAACACATTTACTGCACATGGACTCACCACAGAGGCAGCGTGTTAGCAATGGGAGGCCTCTAATTTCAGACTGACTGCAGCTCCCCCTAAACAAGCTTAGCCAACCTTTCCGAGTTAAGCGTCACACCCTTCAGTCACCACCAGCTTATTAAATTTGTCATTGGTGCTAATTGCCATTCAACTCAGATGTGCACTCCTGCAGCAACCTTGACCTTAGCCAGTTGGGGAATGTTGAAATTTGTTTTATTATAGATACATATTCTCCTTTCCCCTCCAAAGCATTGGCAGACCACGAGGTGATGATAACTATCTGTACACGATTCAGTACAGTAATATTACAGCATGCTGTGTCAGATGTATATTTGAAATTGGAAGGAAAATCTGAATCTGAGAAGTGATATCAAAGTCGAGTGAAAAGTGAACACAGCTCCAAAATAGACTCCCAACTAGCATGAACAAGACTTCATAACTATTCTCATCTGAGCATAATATGAATACTGTCTTAGCTGGGATTGAAAGAGGACCTGCTGCACTGTTTCCTCTTCTTGCCTTTGTATCACCATTAAAACCAGTCCATAAACTGTGTGGCTGACCTGGAATTTACTACCAACATGGCATCTGCTGCACTAAATGTTCCATCACTGATGGCTATAAAAGGGAAAGGAATTATGATGCCCATTGCTAAAGTATTCCACACCATACACTTGGACACAAATCTTCTGACTGTGATTAAGACATTTATGATTAGCAAACAAAAAAACAGAGCCATATATTTCTGAGATGGCTGAACTTAATTAATTGACCAGGATGTTATGATGACTTTTGTTGTGACAGAGTGGGTCTGAAAAATGCTTAATTTCTGGTTCAGCTCCTCAGGCTGTTACACATTATTTTTCCCTTTGTACTCTCCATCATGGCCTTCACTCTGGCCACACATGCTTTCTTTTTTGTTGATCAAATGTTTGCATTTCAAATCTGCAAAGTAACAAGCAGCTGTCACATGAATACAGTGGAGCAAAATGTACAATATACTCAACTTAACTCAAATGTATTTATAAAGCACATTTAAAAACAACTCACGTTGACCTAAGTGCCATACAGAAGGAATAAAATGCTAAACATAACTGTCATAACATAACGTCACTCACACATTTAGAGACACAACACACACAGGCACGCATCAGGGAAAACCACACTGGGGACTCAAACGCTAATGACTAAAAGTAGGTTTTGAGTCTGGACGTAAAAGAGTCAATGGTGGGGGCAGATCAGATTTGGAGGGGGATGCTGTTCCACAGTTTGGGGGCAGATATAACAAAGGCATGCTCACCCCTGAGCTAAGTCTGGAGCGTGGGACAGCCAGGAGCCACACGTCAGCTGAACTGAGGGACGTGGGCGTAGAATAACATATATTCTATAATATATATATTTATAATAATAATAATATATTCATCTGAAATGTGGTAGAGCAGACTATAGAAATACTAAAGATTACTTTTGTGCTTAATTACAGTACTTGAGTAAATGTAGAGGGACTTTCCACAACTGAAAAACCTATAGCCTGGGTAAATGCTTTATTCACAGAATGGCATTTAATCTAAAAGCTCATTTTATATATTAGTCTTTTAAACAGGTCTCAGAATCTCTATAGGAACTTGAATGCACTTCCATTTTTTTCTTTTATTTGTCTGTTTAGGTTGATATAAGTTTTATGTAAACAATTTGTAATTACACCCACTGAAATGTCACCTTTATGTAAATAATTGATTTGTTGTTGGAACAATTTAATATGCTTTTATTTTGAAAATGCCACTATGTGTGATGTCATCAATATTCGCGATGTCATCAGGCCGCGACAAACGTTGACGAAATCGCATGTAATGTTTATGTTTCGTTAGATACTTAAACGTCCCCTGTCATCTTGGTTTTACTTACATGCGTGGTTATTTTACGTTACTCTGATTCTCCGAGGACGATGCTGACTGTCAGCCGGGTGTTCCGGTGTTTACACAGCCGTTTAACACCGTCTAGACTCCGTGTTCCGCTCACCTGTCGTCCCACGATCGCAGCCAGGTCAGGGCTCCTCTCCTCACAGGACCACCGGTGCAATTTCCATGTGTTGTTAACGCCTGCTGACAGATGTGAAGCTCGCCTGAACAGCAGTAGAGGGTTTTCAACTTCACCGAGTATCAGAAGTGACGCTGTTGGAAAGATCCAGCCAACACATTATCATCTCGTTTACACGTGCAAGGTACCAATACGTGTTTAAACCCCAGATCAGTTTGTCTTGGTCTATGTTGACATGTGTCTGAGTCATATACCTGAAATGCGGGTTGTATCATGTTTGTAGGTTTGCTCTACCAGGACCACGCAGCAGATTTCCAAAGTGGCTTATCACAATGGTGTTGTGATAGTGACATGTCCAGGATGTAAGAACCACCATATCATCGCTGATAACCTCAAGTGGTTCTCTGACCTGGAGGGGAAGAGGTTTGTAGTGCTTTGGACTGAACTGAACTGAAACCAGAATATGGCCAGATCACACAGAAAGCCTTTCATAACAACCACTAATCCAACCTTCGAGCAGTATTTTGATGATATCAATATTTGACAGTTTAAAAAAACAAAATGTATCAACTGTCTTTTTAACACATGAGTGATACATGTTGATGAGCATCCCTTAAATTTGTCCTATGAGGAATTGTGACCAAGATATGTGCTTAGCAGGACACTTGATAGTTGAAAAAGACACACTCTGGTGGACACATTCTGTAATGGCAGCTTTGTAAATTGTAATTTCTGGTCTGTAATTTCTTGTTACTTATTACTGACTGACATAACTAGTGTTTAACAAAGCAGCAACATGTCTTTTGAAATTATTAAGTTTAGACAGGTGAGAATAAAGTGAAGCATGCACTTCATTGAGAGGTATGAGGACAGACTGATTCAAGATTTTGGTTTGGGCAAAGGGAGTAAGTAAATGGAAATCCTAAAATGCTGCTTAAGTGGACAAACAACAACTCTGCAACTCTTAAAGGGATAGTTTGGGATTTTTAAAGTGGGGGTGTATGGAGTGATAATCCATACTCAGTGTATTACATGCAGTAGTTTTCAGTTGGCACACTCCCAGGATGGAGAAGCAGGCTTTAGTCCAACACAGAAGCTCAGCAATGTACTACTGTGGGAAGGGGTCAGCAACAAAAGGTACTTTACGCACCTAAAAAATATCAGTATACGTGTATGCTACATTTAGAGTATTTTCACTGCTTTATCACTTCATCAGACAGCCTGTTCAGACAGGAAGCCGTTAACAGCTTCAGTACCCCATCAAGGCTCACATCAAAGCCACCAGACTCCATTGACAAAAACAGTAAATTTAGCTCAGTGAACACAGGAACTGCTGGTCTACTGCTGCTTTGATTGGTTAGTTAGTTTGTGTTATTATGTGACTTTGATGAATCCAATCTAACCTTTTTAAACACCAAAGTCACAGAATAACACACACAAAATAACTCTTTGAGGCAGTGGTAGACCTGCTGCTCCTGCGTTCAGCAGTATTAAATCACTGTTTTTCTCAGTAGAGTCTGGCTTTGAAGAGAACAAAATAACAGCATCATTTTCCCTGTCACTGTTTGACATGAAGATGAAGCAGTGAAATTAGTCTAAAAATAGCATATACGTAACTGATATTGGTTTCTTTATGTGGGACTTTTCTTTGGTGACTAAAATACATTTTATTGCTGACCCATCCGCAGCAGTAGATTGCTTAGCTTCAGCATCGGACTTCAGCCTGCTTCTCCAAACTGGGGGCCAGTCAACAGACATCTGTTGTATGCAATACACTGACGATGGATGAGTACCCTCCACAACCCCCAACTCAAAATACCTGAACTATCCCTTTAAGCATGTCTAAGGAGCACAAACTGTTTAAAATGCACAAGAGAAACTGACTCATTTGATTTACCAGTAACTACTGTGCAATGAATTTCTGAATGACTCATGCTCTGTGTCACTTTGCACTTTAGAAACATCGAGGAAATCCTCGCTGCCAAAGGAGAGACTGTGAGGAGGATTGAAGGAAGTGCTGCTTTGGAGATAGTGATGGACGAATCAAGCAAAGATGAGTCACAACATGGTGACGACACAGAGAAATCAGACAGTGACCCAGAAAAACAATAACACTGTGTATGTACTGTATATGTATATTTAAAGATGTTAATATTTCATTCCATAATAAACACAAATCTTTTAAATGTGCATGGTCTGTTTGATGTTAAACCTTGTCAAAGGAGAATTTCTGTTGGTTTTTGACACAAAGTTTATCTTATCTTATTAGTTGTCATGGATTCTGAGCAAAGAATAGGGAAATAAGAGACTAGATTTAATAGCAGGAGCTACAACTATAACTCCATATGTCCAGTCTTGTTTTCTGCGGCTCAGGACATTCTCCAAGATCAGTTCTATTTTATCCTGTGGAAAACTAGACATCGTCATACATGCTTTTATTTACTCTTGTTTGGAGTACTGTAACTAGCTCTACACATGCCTGAATCAGCAGAGTTTACACAAACTACAGCCTGTCCAAAATTCAGCAGCCAGACTCCTTTCCCAAACCAAAAAGAGAGCATGTTACTCCTACTTTAGCTTCTCTTCATTGGCTCCCAGTAAATTTTAGAAGTGATTTTACGATATTATTGCTAACCTTACAGCCCACTCCGGACTCACACCTAAGTACATCTCAATCCTCTTTGTAAATCACTTATTAATTAACTTTTATTAAACTGGTTGTTTTATCTATTTTATTTTGTTTCATTTTACTATTTCTCATGTGTAGCTCATGCCTCATGTTGTATAACTTTTAAAGTGTTTTTTTCTCTATTTTTTTTGTGAAGCACTTTCTTTGTTTTGAAAATACAGTTTGTTATTTTTATTATTTTTAACTGATGGCAAGTTCAACAAGGCAGGTACTCATTTAAACTGTTTTAACTATACCAAACTTTTCTATCTATTATCAGCAAAGGTATTTAGATAATATATTTTATATGTAAATAATCAACACATTTATCATATTTTCCTAAATACTGAGTGCAGTTCCGCTCCATGCTGAGAGCGTTAGTTCTCGCGAGAACCGCGCGTTGTTATTGCCACAGATAGCATAGCTAGCACTCAGCCAAGCTATCTGAATATCTCACAGTCTTCCTGAGTTACTGGACTGCAATGGATGCCCTCGGAGCCTTAGACGAGGCAGAGAGGCCACGGCATCGGCCTTTCCTAATAGGGGTCAGCGGAGGAACCGCCAGCGGCAAGGTTAGTCCTTTTTCAGCCGGGGGATCTACGGAAATTAGCATAACGTTACCGAGAAGCTCAGTTTAGTTTGCTAGCAGCGCTAACATTAGCGTTTATCAAACTGTCAAAGCAGCTGTCACGCCCCCTTCACTCAGTTAACATTTTCCTTGACATTACTTCACTAACATGTTAGAACAGTCATGACATTTCAGCTCTTGTGCTATTTACCACCTCTAGCAACACTCAATTGTGATCTTTTAGCACCAAAGAGCTTCACTGAGCTAACTAACTAGCCGCTGTAAGAATGTGTCAGTTCCCTCGCAATGCCAGACTTTGGGTCAGCTGATAAGCACCACACTGAGAAGGTCACTGATAGCACACCGTTTGGTTCCCCTCACTTCCTCAGGACACTGACGCAAGCCTTGCCTTGTTTAATGTAATAAATAAAGCATTGTGAGAAGTCATGAATACCTGTAGATGAGTAAAGGAAGTTTTCTGCCACAGTCAACGGTTTGCGCCAAGATCATGGAGCTCCTGGGCCAGAACAAGGTGGACCATCGCCAGAGGAAGGTGGCGATCATTAGCCAGGACTGCTTCTACAGAGTCCTCACTCCAGAGCAGAAGGCCAAAGCGCTCAAGGGACAGTACAACTTTGATCACCCAGGTAGGCCCGGGCTGCAGAGGGGTCTCCTTCCTGTCCAAGCACACACCGACTCGCGCCTTTTCACAGGTGCACTGATGTGCAGAGGTGGGACCAAGCCACATGTATAAAGTCTCCACTCAAGTCCCAAGTCAAGACTGATGAGTCTCTTCACAAAATATCATGCCATTTTAACAAGAGTAACAATAACATAT